TTCAATCACTCTTCTGTCCTTAGACGACATGAGAGAACTCATACCGGTGAGAAACCATATGAATGCAATGTATGTGGCAAAGCCTTCAATAGAAGCTATAACTTTAGATTGCATAAGAGAATCCACACTGGAGAGAAACCATATAAATGTTTTGTATGCGGGAAAGCCTTCAGTAAATATTTTAACCTTAGACAACACGAGAAAATACATGTAAAGGTAATAAATGTGGAAGATTCACCACCTATAGCTTCAAACTACAAACACTCTTGAGGGCTCAAATACTCAAGAAACACCATATTTATAATCAGTGTGGGAGAGCATTTATTCATCCTTATTACTTCACTCAACTGAAGGTAGTCCAAAGTGGAGAGAATCCATATGTGGGTCATCTATATGACAAAACCTTTAGATAATGGACTGACACGGAAGGATGTAAATGAGGTGAGTGTGGAAGAATTTTCATCCACAGTTCCGTCAAACAAAATGGAGAAGTTACGTCAGAGAAAATATGCCTGTAATCAATGCAGAAATACTTTCATTTATCCTTTAAACAAGCCAGTTGTGCAGGAAAGTCTAGATCTGTAATCACTATGCACTCATTCAATTTAGCAACTCATTTGGCATGCAGAAGAAATCTGCTAAAACAAGAAGTGACTGGAGAAAAAATCATTCCTAGGAAGACAAGAGAATTTTGTTGCCAAAGGGTTGTGTTCGGTGAGAACTAGGACATGAAAGAGACTGAGGATATTTGGAGTATCCTATTTCCAGAATGCCTAGCACACTCACGCTAACGTCTGCTAGTGGCAAAAACCACAGTCTGGCACAGCCGAGGGCTGAAGCAGAGGCAACCCAGCCTTGCCCATATCCCTGACACAACAGCCACGGACGCACACATCACCCAACTGAGGAGACCTGTGCATCCCGGTTCCCCCCACAGGCAAATGCAGAAAGCCGGGAGGCCAGAGGACAGGCCGAGTCATTGGTCTTCACTCGCTTGAGTATGATTAGTCATCCTTGTTCACATGTGGCAAGAAAGAGAATGCAGATGCTTATGATTAACTTATAACGTTGTGAGTGAGTATGCAATGCCTTGTCAATCCTCACTTTATCTCTGCCCTTTGGTTTGAAGATATTATTGATGTGTCCTCACACTAATTTGTTTTCTATGTGTAAAGTCTTAAACTCACCCATTAATGTCACCAACAGGACATAGCTTCCCAAACCTAGAACTATTGAATTTCTCCATCTTCTCATGTTTCTTATAACTTCTATTTTGTGTAGTAATATTATAAATTTTCCTCCTAACTCCAATCTAAAGACAGATGTGGATTTGTTCATTGTCTTTTTTTCCCATCACCTTTCCTGCTGCTTTACAAAGATGTTTTTGTATTTTTTTAATTTCACACATTGTCTTCAAAAAAAGGAGACTGAAGTTGATGTGGTTTTACCCAGACAAGTTTATTATTCTCTTAGAGTGAGGAAACATCACTTCTTCCATCCAGGAATTGAAATAGACTCAGGCTAGGTGGCAGCTTTGATTTCATTCAGACATTCATGTCTTTCAGGTCATTCCTCTAGATTTACTGAAAACACCTTCCAAAGTAGTATAAACTGAGAAGACAAAACACTTTCTTTTCTTCATCCCCACCTAAAAACCTATGGGGAAAAGGATCCCAACATTGGAGATTCTCTATATTTCAATCAGCCTATGTCAGTCCACATGTTTATATATCCATCTACTTGTTATTTCCTCATAGTGATTTTTTTGCCCATGATTTTCAGTGTCTATACTAAGCAAGTTCCCCCAAGTGTGGAAATCAGATGGTCTCTTCCTGGTTCTTATAGTCCTCTCCGGTTTTACAAATCTCTGAATTTAAAACATCTAATTTCCTGTTCTCTGTCTTTTTTTTTTTTTTTTTTTTGAGACAGAATGAGAGAGAGAGAGCACACATGAGAGGGGGAGGGTCAGAGGGCAAAGCAGACTCCCTGC